GGGTTTAGGGCTTAGGGTCTAGGGGCCTAAATAGTTGGAATAGGGCTATTCCGAGGCCTACCCTAAACCCTAAGCCCCCCAAACCTTTAAACCCATTCTGGATGCTCCGGAAAAAGGCCCTCAACACGAAAACCTCAAACCCCCAAAAGGAACTAGTTGCAATCGAGACAACAACTCCCAAGAAGGACCGAAAGGTACACCCACACTCCTCCCAACCCAAAAAACCTAAACCCTGAACCCTAAACCCAACCCCCCCTCCCTCCCCCCTCTCTCAAAAAAACTAAAGCCAAAAACCCTTACGGCTTCTAAAGTAGTGAGGTGTCGGTTTTGGGCGGCCTCAAAGACCCTAAGTTTCGGAATTCCGGAAAAGTTGTGGCCGGGTGCTGAGCACGTCGTAGCACCCAGGCCTTGGGGCTGTCGCGGGTTAAGGGTTTAACAGTGAGGGCTTAGGGTTTAGGGTTTAGGCCTTAGGGTTTAGGGCTTAGGGTTCAGGGTTTAGGGCTTAGGGTTTAGGGCTTAGGGTTAGGGTCTAGGGCTTAGGGTTCAGGGTTTAGGGTTTAGGGCACAGGGTTTTGGATGTAGGAATTGAAGTTTCGGGATAACTGGCCGAGGATGGAATCTTCTGGGTCCCTCGGAAGTTTATGGTTCCGGTAACCTTGTAGCATAACAATTAATTACCTATATTCTTTTAGGATTTAGGGGTTCCTTATTCCAAACTATGATGGGCGCCAAAACCCCATTCTAATTATTAAGGCCCCTACATTACCCCGAAGCCCTGTTCCAATGACTACGGCCCCTGTATTGCAGGGACAACTTGCCTGGCTTCGGCGCTTTCCGCCATCGCGATGATGACCTCAGGTAACGTACGGGCCTTAATAACTAGAATAGGGTTTTGGGGGGTTCCTTATTATAACTATGGTATAATATACCCCAAACCCTATTTTAAATATTAAGGCCCCCTATGGCAGGTCGTCAGGCTTTACATGTTGGGGAAGGCCTGGCTTACGACTTGCGAACCGGTCTGTGCACAACGGAGCTTCCTTGCGAACCTCGCTTTTGGAGTGAGTATACCATTTGGGTGGTTGTCAAAATTATGGTCCCTTTTTGGGTCCTGATTATAGTACGGCACCTATTATTTAGGGTACCCCAGAAAGGGACCCTAATTTTGACAACCACCCATTTAAAGCTATGGACATATTTTATGGCTCAAAACATGATGACATGTTCATGGTCTCTGCTATGCAGCTATAGAAATCGTACGCTTTTCTGAAGGTCACTGGCATTTGCTAGAGAACGGCATAGCTTCAGATAGAATGAGGGACCGGGATCTTCGTGGCTTCTCGGCCCTGAACCCCACTTAAAAGTTTTATACCCCAAATGGGAGTTTCCGAAAATACCGGGTAGCTTACTTTGGGGTCCTTAGAATGAGGATTCTACTATTTAGGGTACTATATTAGGGTCCCTTATTTCGGAAACACCCAAATCCCTATGAACCCTAAACCCTAAACCCTAAACCCCAATCCTTTTGAACGGTTTAGGGTTTAGGGTTACCCTAAACCCTAAACCCTAAACCCCAATCCTTTTGAACGGTTTAGGGTTTAGGGTAACCCTGAACCCTAAACCCTAAACCCCCAAATCCTTATGAACCCTGAACCCTTTGACAGCTCTATCGGCCCCAAAAGAGCAACAGTCTCAGGGCGCGACCGCAGTTGGAGCCTCATTGAAATTCGGGGCGGTTTAGGGTTTAGGGTTTAGGGTTGGGCCATGTAGTTTGTTGGGCTAGGGAATATAGGATCAGGGTGCATTAACCTAAGACGAGCTGTAGGGTGGCTTGACGGCTGTCATTCCCGTCTCAAGTCCCGGGCAGTTCTTTCAGTTGGGATGTAGACGTGGAGCACTCTGCTCCAGTTCTGTCCAGAGCCATAAACCCTAAACCCTCAACCCTAAGCCCTAAGCCCTAAGCCCTAAGCCCTAAACCCCAAAAGTTACCGGAGCACACCAACACCTCACTGAGAATTCCGTGCTCCAGAGCACCTCCCTGCACTCGGCCCCATGCAATAGTTTGCATCCTCAGATTGGAACTCGAAGCCGCACATCATGCAAAAGGCCTTCAGGTTAAAGGGAACTACAGGTGGGGAGTTTAGGGTATATAGGCTTCTATAAGGCTTCTATAAGGTATTAAGGTATATAGACCTTCTATAAGGCTCCTATAACTATAACGACAACTACCCACCTGAAAATGTCCTAGATCAGGTGTGGTGTCCGGGGAGGGGTGTTGGAAGCAGGAGCAGCTGTCATGGATCTAAGACTTTTGCCGGGGAATACTGAATGCCAAACCGAAGCTACGGCACTAGAAGCCAATTGCCAAAGGCCACGATTCGGCTACGACGCGACAACAAAAGCTGAGCACACGTCGAGAAACTGGAGGTTGTTGAAACACAGCGGTATGACCAAACGATATTATCACTTCGCTGTTGATTGGTAGTCGGCTTTCGCTTTCTTATGCTGATGACTGCTGTCGCAGTTGTTTTTGGTGGTGGTAGTAGTGGTGCTGTTGATTGTGGCGGTAGCAGTGGCTGGGTGGGTGGTGGTGATGGTGTTGGCGGTGGTGGCGGCGCTACATGCCTGTAATCTCGACGTCTCATGTAGATTCTGACACCAAGCATGTAGCAAGCAAACACTAAGGGCAACTGCTGTATCTCCACGTAAAATTACATCACCTAAATGCCTTTCGCATTGGACATGTCGTTCACATGTGCATAGTGCGGCACAGCTGAAGCAGCGCACCTCCCGTGGCAGTGGCACACCTTATGCGCGAGACGGAAGCTGCTTTTTTCGCTCAGGCTCTGACGAGTAGGTCAAGCTTCAGGCTATAGTCTCCATTGTAGTTCCTTTTTGGGGATGCCTCATAAAATCCTTGAAATAGAGTTGGTTAAACCACAAAAAAGGAACTACAACGGAGACTACAGGCAGGCGTTGTCGGTAACAACTGCTCTTGGTGCTCCTGGGGGGGGTGCTTGCATAGCTGCGTCTAGTCCATCCTGTTGACAACTCTAGCAGTACCAGTACTACCGTTGTCGAAGGTGTTGGCACTCTTGTCTCTTTTGTCATCGCTGTCAGATGCTACATTCCAGCAGCAGCAGCAGCAGCAGCAGCAGCAGCAGCAGCAGATGTGACCAGTGACGACGACTAGCACCACAAGCATTACGACTAATTACTACTTTCTAGTGCTCCGAGTACTACGAGTACTGCCAGTGCTGCTGCTGCTGCTGCTGCTGCTGCTGCTGCTGCTGCTGCTGCTGCTGCTGCTGCTGCTGCTGCTGCTCCTGACACTACTACGACTACTACTCAGCCCTGCTGCTAGTGCTATTACGACTATGTCTGCGATTCGACTTATGGCCAACAGCCGTAGTTGTGAAGCGACGAAAACGAGCACTACGATAGCACCAGCTTGCGCGCTACAAACAATACTGGTCAAACCTAGCACTCGTCATGGATCGCTGGTAGAGTTGTCACCAGTACTTGCTGCTGCCACGTCCGACGAAGATACTACTACTTGCAGCAGACGGGCGAAGACAAAAATCGAAAAGAAGATCACTTCACCAGTATCATTAGCATCATGAAGTCGCTGGTCGCAAAAGTGTCTGCTCTGGTAATCCTGTGGATGCAAGGAACCTCGCCCAAAAAAACATCCGGAGAACGTACAGAGAACTGCATCCTGCGATAGTGGCTTGCCTTGCTTGGATTGCCCGAGTGCCAATGTCAAAACTTCTGCCATAGCTCTGGGCTCGAGCTTTTTTGGCTGTTGAGAGAGCAGCGATGCCTCGGCAGCGAGGTGATTCCGCAGCCCGGCGTCAGTGGAGGGTTTTGGGTTTGTGGTGTTCGGAGTGTACGGCTGAAGCAGACACTCGATCAAGGCATCAATTAGTGCGTCTTAACTTTCTGACCACATACCACGGAAGCTTGCAGAGCTTCGGGCCTTTTGGCGAATTTCAATCGCCATTGAAGATGCAGAAGAGCTTTGAATATCCGTCCTCTGAACCCTAAGGTGCAATCTCCCAAGCCCTAAACCCCAGACCTGAGGCTGCCCGGGCCATCGACCGATGACGCCTCCTGGGGGCCTGTCCCTTGCCGTAGGCAAGGGGCGGCTTGGGGATGCATGGGGTCTGGCATTGAGGGCTTATAGTATCGAGTGTTAGGGGTTTTCAGGGTTTGGGGTGTCGGATTTGGCGTTCACGGTTAGGTTGGAGCATACCTCAAACCACAGCATTCTTCAACATGTTTCAACTCTTCGCTGGGACAGGGCGCCGGTTGTGGCTAGAAGGCGTTTCGTAATTGAGTCTCATCTTACTCTGTCCAGTTATGTCCTGTTCATATCTCAGAGGCATTTCTTGGTGTTCTGTTTGCTTATTCATTTACTACCTTTGCTGTTTTCTCTCAGTGGTCGTTTAGATTTCGAGTGTCGTTGGTACAAAGGCAGCGGTTACTCACTACCTTCAATGTCAGTGCCACACTGATCACGTGACCGTGTGCTATCCTGCCATCCATAATGATGATGCCGTTATCCGTGCTGTTGGGCTGTTGAATATGCTCATGGCGACGTGTGCGTGCAGGTCCTAACACAGACATGTTTGACGCTTCAGTTTGTCAGATAGCTCTCGTTGTTGTTTTAAATCATGGCCAGCTATGGTGTTGAGATTTTGTGATCCTTTGGTGTGAATATGTTTCATCATAACCTTACCAGTCGCTTAGTTCGGAGTTTTCACTACCCCTCTTGATGCAATACCGTTTAAATGGAAAATCCACCACCTTTCCCTGGTCGTCTTTTAGCTTCTGCCTTGTTTTCAAGCTTGGATGTATCGTGGTCGTGTCTACAGACATATCGATCTACGACTACTTGAAGAAATTACGCAAATCCCTGCTGCGGCAAGCTCAACATTAGCGGTGCGCCTTTGGACCTGAGTGGCTCTTCCATCCGCACAACTCTGGACCATGACGTTTGGCACAGCAAGCCGTTACATAGATCCTTTAGTGTGCAATTATAGTGCTTGTGCACAGCTTTGGCTCCATGCAAGGCTCAGGGATTACCAAAGCTTTGCAGCTGCAGCCTGCCTCTAACAGCGGCTCTTGTCCATCGCCGCCTGCCATTCCTGTGATTTGTCGTGCCCTTAGCTGTCATCACTGTTCTTTGGACAGGCAAGGAGACGGGGAAGCTCCCGGGATACTCCGAACTTGCCGCAAAGGCGGGGGAGACCTTGTGAGGGATGGACAAAGTTCCTTGCATGACAACTGCAGCAATATCGTGAGGGGTTTCTTCATAAAGGGCCTCGTCCATTGCCGTGTCCAGCCTGAGGAGTAATGTTCGATTTATTTCGAGTGACAAAGAACTTAGCTTCAAGCCAGGTTCGGTGTCCGCCAGACTCGGAAACCAAATGGATCCCCTCCATGTGCCAGAATCTGACGCAGTGCAACCGTAGTGCCGGTCTAATGCGAAAGCGCAAACCTAAAATTCAAACGAGGCTTGAGGAAAAGCGATGAACAACTAGGAAAACGTAGTCAAAGTTAGGAACGACTTAAAAGCCAGAAAACACAAAAGCAAGCATAACAAATACAAAACACAAACAACACACTAGTTGCAAGTTTCCTGCTTTCTTTGTGACACATGATTTTCAGCGAGACATGCTGCACGACATTTCGCGGCTGGTCTCCTGTTCGGACTTGGTTGTGTTCGGCTCCAGTTTTGCTTGTTTACGGCAAAGGAAGAAAACTCGGTGGACACTAGAGTAACGACCCCACGGCCATACTGCCTGGACTGGAAATCAGGCGTTCTGTCCCTATAGGAGTGCTGAATTATTTCGTCATTTTCTGACTAAGGCTAGTGTCTCATGCTGCGTGTCCTGCAACTCACAGACCCCTCTCTGTAGAAACCTTAAAGATGTCATTACTCCAGTGTAACGATGTCACTAGAAGCAGCTGAGCGCAAATCAAGGAACTTCAGAGACAGACCACAATCGTGATGGCACTTTTTTCAATCGGATGCAAGCCCCTAAACCCTAAACCCTAAACCCTAAACCGAGTTTAGGGCAACCCGCTAGCTGCGGTTGGACCGAAGGACCATGAACCCGTGTGGTGCACTCAATTTAGGTCCCGGGGTGACAGTATAAGTTTTGGTTTAGGGTTTAGGGTTTAGGGTTTAGGGTTTAGGTTTAGGGGTATAAGTTCTCAGTGCATCGATGGAAAGTCTTCTTTCCAAGAGATAGGTGACTTTTGACCTAAAGACCCGGAGGGCCTTGTGGGAGGCATGTCTGGATACACTTGGCCAAGATGCGGGCTCATGGTTGCGAGCAGTCGCCGTTCCTGAAGTTTGAGGTTCATTGCTGAAGCCATCTCCTTAAGCCCAAGACTCATCGGATGCTTTTGCCGCCCTGTTTTCTGGAAACTTCACGACCTTTCCACGAGGATGATTTGGGCCATCAGTTGCAGCAAGCCGGGACAGTCTTCGCCCTCGCGCAAAAGCAGTTGGAGGTGCAGGGCTCGACAGGGCCACTTGAGTTGAGCAATAATGACAGGGGCCACGATATAACAATATGAGCTAGCTAGCGTGCATGGCTCCTTAGTGCACGGACCTCGATTGGAGCGGTACGATCTGCACCATACCTGCGGTTTCCCAAAATCTTCAGGACGAACCTGGGCAGTCTGACGGTTCTTTGTGAGAGCTCCGGAGTAGGCGTCATGCTTCTGCGGCAACATGTTTCTACTCGGTGAAGTTGAACAGATGTTGGACGGACTTCGTTCCTATGGCTTGCTGCGAAGGCACTTTAACGGCAATGGCCCCTAAATAATTCCCTATACTATCTTGGGGTTTTTTATTGTCGTATAACATACACCCAAAACCTTATTCCAATTATTAAAGCCCTATATGCAGGCAGCCTTCTAGGCGGCAGGGGCAAGCCTGGCGATACTCGAGATTAAAACAGGGGCCTTGATAATTAGAATAGGGTTTGGGGGTATATGATACGATAAGTATAATAAGGAACCCCAAAATTGTTTAGGATAGTGCAGATAGTATAGGTAATTTTTAGGCCCCTACAGTACCATTGCAGATTGTTGTTATCCCTGTACCACGTGCTGCCAGCGAATTTTGCAGTGGTAGTGCTGGGGCTCTGAAACCCTAAACCCTAAACCCTAAACCCTAAACCCTAAACCCTACCCAGCAACCATGCAAGGCGCTGCACCAACAGCTGGCTGAGCTGGATGCCCTTTGCAGCGGCCTTCTGTCAGGGAGCCTGGGTTGCAGCAAAAGTTGTTCCGTCCATTCACGGATTTGATTCTTACGCCCGTATTACGGGAAGCTATGGTAAACTGTTCGTTGGGCTGTTGGAACTCAGGGTTTGTTTGAGGGCTCTCTTGGCCAGGGATCCACCAAAGTCGAAGCCATAAGACCCCGAAGCCCGTTGGAGCATCCCCACCCCGAAACCCTAAGCCACAACCTCTCACAAACACCCGGACCGTGAAACCTCAAACCCATCGAACCACCCCCAGAACCTACAGGAGCTCTTCAATCCAGTCGCCACTCCAGGAAGTCCAGGCGTCCGAAAGGAGACTCTAGGACTCTGGGGTTTAAGTCGAAGCGTTCTATTGAGATTTTGGGGAGGTGGTGTTTCTAGTTTTAGGGTTAATAGGTTAGGTGCTTTCAGGGCATGGAGTTTGGGGTTTGACTGGGTTTGCAGGTATCCGGCCTTGCGCTATGAAGATTTAAGGTTGTGGGACCTGGACTCGATCGACCATGCAGTTCGTTAGTCGCAGCTACTGTGCAAGATGCAGCTCTCGGCAGATGCTGACTGCGATCTGATGACGCGTCGGCGACGCTGTGGTGAGACGTGGTGATGACAAATGATGGGGCAGAGCAGCACGAACAAGCAGCAAACAACTGAATCACAACTCGCAATAAGTTCTTGCCACAACTAGAGGTAGCCAGTGGTGGCACCCTGTCGGTTCCTGCAGAGCCGAAGGGGGAACGGCTCTCTGATGAAGCTGCAGGTTTCAAGGAGTACGAACATACGAATCATGCAAGCCTGTTCGAGCTTTTTGAAAATATCGCTGCGTGAAGCCAATTTTTGAAGCTTGATGGAACATCCCGAAACTGCTGAATGCTTCATTTCAGTCTGACGGTTCAGGCCACGTAAGTCAATATCAATCAGCTGCGGTTGTGCGCAAGTGACGGCTCGGTCACTCGAAGCCCAAGCCTGGCTTCTCGGGGTCGGAAGTGTTTAGCAAACTCTCATTCAGATGGATACCTGCACGCCCGGACGACTTGCTGATCAGAAGGGATCTTCAGAAGAATCGCTTGTAGGTGTGTTACGGTGTGTTCCCTCGTCGTCGTCGTTGTAAAGCGTAGTAGTCGTCGTCCTGGTCGTCGTCGTAGAACTACGTAGTATGAGTAATATAAGTAGTATAAGTAGCATAAGTAGCCGTCGTCGTCGTCGGCGTAGTAGTAGTAGT